CTCGGTACTCTAGCGGCTCTAGCGATCAAGGCTGATCAAGGCTCAATTCTCTCCAGGTCTCCAGCTCCCAATTTATCCTTGCCCTGGCCCTGGCCCTGGCGTTTCTTTGCCTGCTGGGCCCCGAGCTGAAGGAAGCAGTTTGTTCTTCTGCTTTTCCAGGGAAGCCATCAATGCCTGCGCCTTCTCAAAGCCAAAAACCTTGCATTGCGTCAAATGAGTTGAACAGGCATACACACTCACACACTGTTACGAAGTGGTCCTCCGGTCCGAGTCTGACCACACGATCAAAAAACACAACTACAACTACTGCTACATATGATACCTGGGGGGGTCTTGTTGGGTTCTGAAATGAAGTGAAGCAATGAAGTTCAAAACAACTCATTCCACTCATCCACCAATGACCTGAGCTGAATGAACAGTCACTGATTGCAAAGGGAGTGGCTAATGTAAAGGCCCGCTGAACTACTTCTGGGATGTTGCCAGCATTGCGTAGTAACATGGCCAGCGACAAAGAGTACACCTGGTGGACCAGGTTTCGGGGCTGTTGTCCCTTGCGGCGGGGCACTACCACAGAAGCATCGTGGTTTGCAAACTCAATGTTATTGTGACCATCACTTTGCTCCAATTCCACCACATCATCTGCCACAACAACAGCAGCAGGAGGCCCAGATCCGGGCCGACGGCCTCTTCTCTTTCTTGCAGCCAGTTCCAGCTCCATTGCAAGTTACAAGAACGACGGTCGTTGTCGATCCTAATGGTGAAAGGTCAAAACAGATTTTATTGTTCTTGTTTACCTGCTGACCGTGCCGCTGACCTTTTTCGCGGCGGTTTGTAGTTGGTAGTCCCTGGTAGTCATGTGTCAGGTGTCATAGATCCATGATTGAAACTTGAATACCCCAGCACTACACGCGAATCGGCGCCGCCCACAGCCAAATGGCCTCTCAAGCGAGCTAATGTTGAACCCTGGGACCCTGGTTCTGGTCAGTGTCAAAAAAAACTTACCAGGCTGCAGCGGCATGGCAAACTAACTATGGTTAAGGTTATGTTACACATGGTACATTATATTCATGTTTATATTTATGCGTCAACAACGTTACTGCAATCCGATATTCCTAGAATGGATTCCTGTTCGTTGTGTCATTTTCCTTTTTCCGTGTTTTCATTGTTGTCACTTTTTGTTTATTCTTTTTCTTGTTCATGTTCCTCCCTTTCATGTTCTTTTCACAACGTGGACGTGTTCCCCTTTTCTTTGTTGTTGTTGTTTATTGGCATTTGTCCTTTTCCTGTGAGTCCTTGTCAATTTGTTCGTGTTCTACTTTTCAATGTTCCTTTGCCTTTTCTTGTGTGCATCCTTTCCTTTTTCCAGGCCTTCCTTCCCTTTGTTGGTTCTTGTGTTTCATATTTCATTTCATTTCCCTTGTGTTCATTTTCGTTTTCCCCTGTTCCTCCCTTTCAAGCGGCAAGGCACCAACCAACCAACCAACCAACCCCAACCAACCAACCAACCAACCAACCCCAACCAGCCAACCAACCCACCAACCAACCAACCAACCACAACCAACCACAACCAACCAACCAACCAACCAACCAACCACAACCAGCCACAACCAACCACAACCAACCACAACCAA